TGAAATCTGTGCATGTACTTGTATACATGCACAAGTACATATATATGTACTTGTATATGTGTGTACCTAAATGCTTATATAAAGGAAGCTCTAATAGATTTTTTGAAAAGAGAGAAAACATACATAAAAATTTCAAGTTAACTCACTGTTACAAAGCCATGCCCTTCTAACACTAGCCTAGATCATTGGTTGCAGCTACTGCAACTCCTTACCCATAGCCCCACATTAGTCACACTCATATCCCTTTAGCTCAACAGTTCCCAACCTGTGTGTCACAACCACTTTGGGGATTGAACGACCCTTTCACAGGGGTCGCCTAAGACCATCGGAAAACACATATTTTCGATTGTCTTAGGAACCGAGACACCACTCCTCTATCCGTCTCCATGCTTCAAGACAAAATTTCATTTATTTGTAATTAGAAATAAATATTTCACAATATATAATTACATATTGTTTTTGTGATTAATCACTATGCTTTAATTATGTTCAGTTTGTAACAATGAAAATACATCCTGCATATCAGATATTTACATTATGATTCATAACAGTAGCAAAATTACAGTTATAGAGTAGCAACAAAAATAATTTTATGCTTAGGGGTCACCACAACATGAGGAACTATATTAAGCTGCTGCAGCATTAGGAAGGTTGAGAACTGCTGCTTTAGCTCCTCAGATACACCGTGCTCCGCCCACGTCAGGTTTTCACCATCCTGCTCACTCTTCCAGAACTGCTCTCTCCCAGGCCCTTGCTTGGGTTTAATACAGCCCTGAAGCCTCCCCAGCCTAGAGCAGATCCCTAAAAACTCAGACTTCCCTGCTACAGCACTAATCACAATTGGAAATAAGAATTCATTTTCTTTGATTGATTATCTCTTCCTCTAAAGCCTAGACCAGTAGTTCTCAAATTGAAGAGCTCCTGGGACCAGCAAAATCAGAATTGTCTGGGAACTTTTTAGGCCCCACCCCAGATCTGCTGAAAGGAACAAACAAACAAAGTGACAGAAACCTCCAGATGAGTCTGATGCACATTCAAGTTTGACAACCACTGCTCTACAATCTGTGTAGACGGTTATGTTCTTCTGCCTGGCCTTAGCTGTGCCTTCATCACCCAGCATTCTGTACATACCCAGTGCTCAGTAAAATTCACTGACTAAATGAATGAATGAGAAGGCATTCCACATTTTCATGATGCTAATAAGAGTCTCTTAATCAGGATTAGAATGGTTCCAGTTACCAATTAAAATTTTCCTGAAAAACATCCCCTATAGGGAGGAAACAATCAAAATAACTTAGCTTCAAAATGAACACAGAAATTTGTAACATTCCTGTGTCATATGAATTATAATGTTCAAAGTCTATATATCACAATAGCCACTTCCCTTGACAATCCTCTACAAGCAAAGGGAAAATGAGATCAAAGGGAGTATGACGGGACAAAAGGAGCCAAGACAAGGTCATTGAACAACCTGGGTCACATCACTAAACCATCAGCAAATCATCAGACTATTCCAAACATGAATAAACACTTTTTAAAAAGATGAAACCAGAATGAATGAAAATATTGGAACAAATAAAAACAAAAACTTTCAAATTCATGTGTGTAATCGACACTTTTCACTATACATATATGCTATTTATTATAGTTAAGTTCCCATTGCTTTTTGTTTACTACTGAAGCTAGAAACATTTATCTTGAAATAAATCTTAGATCACTTTTTAAAGGATCACCAAGTTTGTGGAGTGCTAGTCCACTGTTTGTTCTATACTGAGGACATGTCCAGAGTTTACGCAAATCAACAGAAAAACATAACTTGTGTGTATGTGTGTACCTAACATGCCTGTGGATGCACGCATGGGCACATGTATGTGTGTGTATGTGTGTATATTCTGTGTACTGTACATTTAATATATGACCTCACTTCCTTTAGGCCCAGGTCAACTAGACTTTCTCACTCTACTCATTAACATAATAAAAATATGACTTTTGACTATTTTTATTATAGCAAAAACAAGATACATTTGTATATTAGGTCTCATTCATGTAAGCTTCAATAATGCTGAATTAATGACTATTATATAGAATAAACTAACTTTAATTAGCTTTACTTATTAATAAGGCAAGTTTAGCTAAAAAAAGTTGAACTACAGAAACATTATTCCAAATTACTTTAAACCCACCTTAGTGGCTCTCTACATATCTTTTCTAAGAAGAAGTAACCCTTACTTGGCCATTACTGGAGGGCCATCAAGATCTTATTTAATAATTCCTTGTCATTTAAGAGCTGTTTGTTTGAATTACTGTTCTTATTAAAAGTAATAGATATACTTCTAATCATTGAAATTTTCCACTAATTTAAACTGGTCTTCCCCTTGAATCATTCTGAGCTAGTAAGTATTTGCTCTACTGTAAATACTAGAATGAACTTGGTCTTAAGCATTCAAAAGTACATTCTTTTAAAAAACGTAAGGACTAAGGGTAAGAATAACCGCATAAAAATTACATTAGATTAGAACCTAAGGATACAAAATTAAGAAAATAAAGCAATATTGATATCTATATGTATTTTCCAAACTAGGTTGAGAAATTAAGTATCATGATTTTGAAGATGCAAACATACAGAAAGAATGCTGCATTGTAGCCACTTTAATCTTAGCTTCTCCTACTGACACGGGCTGATACAGGCTAACACTTTAATTAAGAGGATGGCAAGTCAACTGCAGAGTTCATGTGTGCATTTTCCCTCAGGCTAAGTGCCCTTCATATGGTAATTACTTTGCATTTTCTAAATGCAATTACACAGTCAACGGCCATAATTGAATTAGCCAATGGCTGCATAGCTTTTATTGACAAAACCTACTGACTAACCAAATAATGAAAGAGAAGGTACAGGATATACAACAGTTCCACAAATAATGTGGTTTCATTTGAAATCCTTTGTTATTTCATTATAATGTTGATGACACGCCATAGAAACTTAACTCTTGTTTATGTCAGTTAGCTTACTGTCAAATTGGTTTCCTTACACATCGTTTCCCCTAAAAGTCTCAGAACCTATCAAAGATGTTAACTGGGATCTGTATTTCCATTCTGTGAGAAACAGGACACATTTTAAGGCTGTGCTGCTGCTGCTAGTGTTACTTCTCAAAACACATAACTGTTAAAAATAGCATTAATTTCCTTGAGCACTCACTGTGTCAGACACTGTGCTAGTGTTTCCACAGGCAGAAAGAACAGGGTCATGGGGAGAGAGGCGAGCGGAAGGGAGGCAGGAAGTGTGGGAACCAAAGGAAGGAGGGGATGAGATCATTCCTAAGAAAAGGTGCAGGCTCACCAGCATTAGCATTTGCATTTGCTGGTGCACTGCTGGTGGGACTGCAGACTGGTGCAGCCATTATGGAAATCAATATGGAGGTACCTGAAAAATCTGAAAATGGAACTACCTTATGACCCAGCAATCCCACTCTTAGGTATTTATCCAAAAAATCCCAAGACATTAATCTGAAAAAATATATGTACCCCTATGTTCATTGCGGCGTTATTCACAATAGCTAAGACTTGGAAACAACCAAAATGCCCATCGGTAGATGACTGGATTAAGAAACTTTGGTACATTTACACAATGGAGTATTATTCAGCTATAAAGAAGAAGGAAATAGTACCCTTTGCAACAATATGGATGGAACTAGAGAACATTATGCTAAGTGAAATAAGTCAGTCAGAGAAAGACAAATATCATATGATCTCACTTATACGTGGATTCTAAGGAACTGAATGGATGGGAGAAGTGGATGGAGATAGTCTCAGAGACACAGAGGAAGAACTGAGGGTTGCTAGTAGGGAGGGGGTGGGGATGAAGGAGAAGGGGAAGGGATGAGACAATATAAATTGGTAATTGCAATATGGCCTCAGGGATAGAAAAAGACAGTCTGAGGAATATAATCAATAACGTTGTAAGTATTTCTTAGGGGGCCAGATGGACCCATGTCCTGTTGGGGAATCCACTTCATAGTCGATGTAGAGGCCTGACCACTGCATTGTATTTCTGAAGCTGATGTTGAATAATATTGTATGTCAACTATAATTATATATACATATAGTCTCGGGACATGGAGTAGAGAGCGGGAACGGATTCAATGGAATTGTAATAGATAAGCATGATATTGGGGGTGGGAGGGCAATAGATGGGGGAGGGGGGTTGTTACTTTGTGAGGGTGAAAAGGGTAACTATTGCATTGTTCTGTACACCTGAAACTAACAATGAAAAAAAAAAAAGAAAAGAAAAGGTGCAGGCACAGCTAAACCTAACAGATTAGAATGCTATTAGCATTAGGGGCAGGGGAAAATCTCCAACCCCTGTGTCGCCATGACAGTTCCGTCAAGGGCCAAATAAGGACAAAAATCCCTCCTCCCGACAGGAAGGAGTGGTCAGGAAAGACCCTGGGAACACCTGTAAAGCCACCCCTAAATATCTCATGCTTTCATTAGAATAAAATACTAAGTTTCTTTGTTCTTCGGGGCAGTTGCTCTTCTGGGCCTGCCCACTCTCCCGCCATCTTGAGAGTGTATTAATAAATCTATTTCCTTTTGTTTTAATAAATCCACTGCTCGGCGTGGCTCCCTTTGCTTGCTTGCTTATACGGTGTGCCCCTGAATTTCTTCCTGAGCTATAACCGAGAATCCGTTCTCCAGGAACACTAAGAACCTTACACTAAATATCTCATATTCATTTAGGAGCCTTATGAAATAGGTACTGATATTATCCCCATTCTACAGATGAAAAAACTGAACAAATAACTTGCCCACAGCACTAATTAGTAGATTGGACAATCAAAGCCAGGAAGGCAGACTTCAGAATGTAAACTCTTAAATTTCCTCTGTACTACTTACATATATGTGCTATAAATCAGCTCATTCACTCACTCATGAACAAATTATTCAAATTACGAGGAGGGTTGAATAAATATGAAATGGAGTCCACCGAGAACAGCCAATACCTTTCCTTCTTCATCACATGGAGTATGGATCTGAAAATAGTCTTTGGTGGAACAGGGAGGACGCTCCGTACACTCACCGGATCCTTCCTCTGCAACATAAAAAAGCAAACGAGGACGGTTCCTTTGTGACTCTAACTAAAGGCAAACATCTAAACAAAAAACGAAGACAACTGAAGAGTCAAAATAACCTTCCCAGAAAAATGTAGGTAGAACTAGGTAGGCCTAAAGAAAATAAAGGCTTACATTTTTATTTTCTCTAAAGCAGTAAGTGTTTCCATGATATACTCGGGACATATCATAGTTTGTCCAAGAAGGCATTAGATTTATTCTATTATCGTTAAAATTGTAAATTTGGAACAAATTACAAGTTTCTAAATACATCCCTATGTCCACAAATCATCTAAAAGCACAATATGAATTTTGTTTTAGATGAGTGTAAACAGCTCCAAAGCAGTTACCTGTGGGGTATGGAATAGAAAAAAATTACAGACAAAAGGAAAAGTCATGCAGAAAGACATAAACGTAGTCATTTTTATCCCTTCAATGTTGATTCACTTAAGCACTTTGGTGTCTGGCCCACAGTTCCCATCGCACTTATATGTGACTTCTGGCTTATAGCTATACACTCAACAAACATAAAGTTAGAAAGAAAAGAACAAGGAGTATAAACTGGCAAAGACTAGATGTACCTGAAAATTGGGAGTCCTCTGCGCACTTTATGCATTCTTTGGCTCCTTTCTCAGAATAGGTGTTTCTGGGACACACTTGGCAGTTGAACGAACCTGGTTTGTTGCTGAAGGTGCCTGGTTTGCACGGAAAGCATTCTGATGTGTACGCCACTCCTGTGTGGTAATGACAGACAGAGCATGGGAGGGAGGACCCAACAGTAACAAGCAAGTCAGCACCTTTTTACAACTTCTACCAGAACTAAGAGAGATTTATTGACAGTAAGCTCAACCCAAATCCTTTCTCTCATTAATTCAACACCAAGAAAATATTTACTGTGTGCAAGGAACTGCGATAGATACTGAGTGAAACACACTAAGTAGGGCAAACACTTAAACAAGAGATTGGGATTAGATAGAAGCACAGTAAATGTATAAACTCAGTTGTCAAAAGACAACTCCGCTAACTTAGAAGTGGGATAAACTCTAAGGTCCCCTCCAGTTCCATAAGCTACCATTCTCTGATCTCTGAGGGTACCTGTTCACTTTCTATCCACTGCTCAGTAAGTCACAGGCAAGGCTTCAATTCTAGGATGGGCTGGGCTTTTGCTCGGGTTTGTAATTCTAGCCTTGGCCAGTAGATGTCCCTATGACTAATGAATTAGCGTCGCAGGAACAAGGACACTTTAAAAATATTAAAACACAAGCCAAACTTTAATAAAGGAGATTCACTGCTTTAATTATAAGTAGCCCTAAATGAGAAAGAACCTTGCCAGGGTTTATTGGCTGCTCTCCTGGCCAGAGAGTCTCAGCTGATTCAGAAGAAGCACAAGAGATTTAGGACACAGTCAGGCCAAGGTGTTTATTTTATTGTTGTTTTTATGGAGACAGCAGTGACCTGAGTAAGCTCGATAACTGGCATAATAGGCATTTTTCAAATGAATAATAAGCCCTTATTAATAAAGATTTTTGTTCTTTTACTTAAAGACACCTAAAATTGTCATCATGTTTATTTTTTCACACCATTTAAATAATTCAATTTAAGGGCACCAAAAAAAAAAACCCCAAAAAAACCATAAAACCAGGGTCTCTAGACCTGTATGATATCTAATATATGAATTCCTGTCCCATAAACCCCTGAGTCAGCAAAACCAACAATTTCAATATTTTAACTCAACATAAAATGTGACAGACTACTAAAACAGATTGCTGTGGAATACCTTCAATTGTGATATTTTTTACCAATACTGGCTTTACTGCCTCAGAGCCCATAAGGATGCCTGTAGTTCTCCAATACAATATGTTTGTACCAGATTTTAGCATTACCTGTAAAGAAAAACACAAAATATTCAGGTCAGGTAAGCCATGCTACGACCAACCACACCTGAAAGTTAATCCCCTATACATTTTTCTTTGCATTATAATGAACACCATTAATTTGGAAACCACAAATTTAAGTCTATTATTAATACTTAAGCTCTGCTGAAGTTCACATTTTCTAAACAAAGAAGAACTAAATAGCTTGCCAATCTAAAAAATATAGTGATAAAGAAGGGAAAACAAGTCCTCAAGTCTGAACAAAAAGATAAAATGATTTTCAAACAATTTGCATGAACTCTAGGTTTATATTTAAAAGGGACTCATTTTAGAGAGTGGAAACTCAGCCCTATTACATATTTATCGGATGCCACTACTGATAAGTACACTTTGAGCTCTGAAAACAAAAAAGGCAACAGAATGAGTTTGCTTTGTTTTAAATTTATTGAATAAACAATACTGCAACGGCAACAAGAGAAAATAGGACTCTTCTTATAGAATAAATAACCTGATGTAACTGTGTGACTCCAGAATTTAAATGACACTATGTCTAATATATGCTTCCTTTGCCAAAAGGACAGTTTTGTAATTATACATCAAACTACCTTTCCGAGAAATTGCATGTTGATTCAGGCAAGAAAACTAATTCTAAGGGTTGCCTGCTTTCTCATTCCCCCCCCCCGCCCCCTTATTCTTCTCTGCAGTCTCTGGCTGGCCAAATTCAAGTGGTATAAACTTAAAACGTATCCAATCACTTCATCCTGCCAAAGAGGTAACGTGTTAAGTTCCTTCCGCTTGCATAAAGTCTTCAGAAGTGAAGAAAGCGTATTTTTTGCCAAGGGTCATTTGTACCTTCAAAGTCCAGCTGATTGAATGCTTAAGTGAATGGCTCTTAAGTGGTACTAAGATCACTTACAGGCATACACATCAAAAAATACCCGGAAAGGGTACATTGTGTCAATCACTCAAAGATAGGGCACCTACCTGCCACAACGCAAAGGCAAAGGTGGATGGTTAGTCACTGAAATAGAGCTCAGTCTATGTTGCTGACACTGCACAGGCCTTTCCAATATGTCACCTCATTTAACTCTGCAAGATGGGTCCTATTTCTTACATAAAAATATCAGACCCAAAGAAATTAAACCAATTGCCTAAAGAAACACAACTTCTACAAGCCAGAGTTAGATTTTAAATGCATTTCTCACTCCAAAGGGACAGTGTCTCAAATAATAACAGATACATTGACTGTGTTACCTAATTATTGCTTTCAAGCATTTACAGTTATCACGTGGAGAATTAGGCAGTCATTTTATTCACTGTGAAGGTATTTTTCAGAGGACTTAGAACTTTGACCAATAGGTGGCAAATAGATAGGAAGTAGGTTTAGGCTCCAGACATGGATGAATATTGTAATAATCAGAGCTGTCCAGTAATAGAGTCAGCACAGTCCCCAATCAGACAAGCATGAAAATCACTTATTGGGGAGACTGCAGAGAAAGCTGGATGAAAAACAAGGGTCCTTCCAGTGCGGAGAGCCACTGCTTGCCTTCCATGTGACAGGCACACCTGTAAACGTACATACTCAGAGGTTTTGTATATTAGTTTGATTAGCCTTATTTCTTGTTAATGCCTCTTTTGAGAAAAAGGAAAGTTGGATAATGATGGGAAAGGGTCTAAGGAGAAACAGAAAGGTAGGAAAAAAGCCTGAGTCCATGAAACTTAGGAGCAATATCTTCCCTACCTGGAAACTGTCTACATTAATAAACAATTTCTATCGTTGTTTTTTTTTCTTATAATAAGCTTTTTAAAAAGATTGGGGAAAGGAAAAAGAAGAGAGGGCATGGGGGAGAGGAGAAGAACACACAGAGACTTACAGAATGAGAGCCCCATTCTCCATTGTCTGTGAGTTTGACCCACTTGTCGGCGGTGGTATCCATCTCTTGGCACTGATCATTCTGAATCTGTGGATTAAACACAATGATCCCAGTATATCTGCTTGAATAATGGCTTTAATTAAATTTCTTACTCAACACAGGACAAGCTGCAAGAACCTTTTTCAAGACATACTAAACAATGGCCATGAGTAATTCTCAACAAGTAGCCATCTCTAGATCTCTGGAGCCGAAGGGGACAACTGCATGTGAGTGAGTGGTTCTAGGTAAACCACTGTCATTATTTTAACAAAAAGGCTAGCTCACTGAGAAGCAGGGAGGGGAGAGGAGAAGGGAGAGGACGAGAGAGCAGCGAATATTGAAAATCATAAAGAAAAACAATCACTACAAAAATCTACCAGACTTACCAAATTGTTTGAAAAGCTTGCAGTCACCACACAAGCCCAATGGTATAAAAATAAAGTTTATTTTCACAATATCTGGGACAGTAAAATCTTAAATTAATAACTAAATGAAGTCTGCTTTGTTTTCAGTTCCCCAGGATTTAATCCAAATGTGTAGGTGAGTGGCTATGGTCAAAGTCGAAGTCTCAGATTTTTATTTGGAGGTAAGTGGTAATCATTTGCCATGACAATTCAAATGACTACAGCACCAAACACTTTGTGCTTTCCAGAAAATTCTTCCAAAATGCCTAGGGGTTGTGACACTACCTTTCCAGGTCTACGAGGAAGACAGAAACATCAGAGTTAGGCCATCTTTACAGTATTGCACAATAGTCAGCAACAGAGTAGTTTTTTGTTTGTTTGTTTGTTTTTGTTTTTTTAGCTGAGCCATCCTGCCACCTGTTGGCAGCTCAGTGGCTGCTCAGCTCAGGCTGGGACTCTAACCGCTGTTGCTCAGAGCTCAAACTCTTGAGCAAGCTCTTAACCAACTGAGCCACTCAGCCGGCCCAGCAACAGAGTAGTTTTAAAGTAAGAGCTCATCATCTATTTCTGCCAAATGGCTCTTTCTTTCTTCTCTAAATCATTTTGCCACTTCATTCATCCTCTTGGCAAACAACATGAAAATGTTCTCCATCAGAGAGATTTCCTAAAGACTTACTAACTAGAAAATAGATCATTTTGCCATCCAAATATTAGAGAATTTCCGCTACTGAGGATATTGGCTTTAATTAAATTTAAGTAACCTATTTATAGTATAAGCTTAATGGCCATTTTAATGTAAGTGTTAAGCCATTTTAAAACAGATATGGGCCCTGAAGGTACCTTTGGTGGTCAGCGTTTGAATAAGTTGAAAGTTTTTTTTCAGCTGAAATCAGGCACTTCTGCATTATTGTGACATTCTACTGGCATCCTGGAGACCTGAGTTCTGTTATTCATTCTAAAAGCAAATTGTAGTGGTATGACCTTGATCCACTCACTTCTCTCTAGGTTTCAGCTTCATCATTAAAAAGGGGAGGTCTGAATGAATGTCCCACATAGTTCTAAAATTAAATACTTTATTGCTTTGAATTATGTAAAATCCACAGGTACAACTGCATCTTTCAGTCTTCAGACATTTCCATTAACCATTAGCATGATGGTGGTGAAGTGCTAACCCTTTGAGTCAATCAGTCGCAAGCTATAAAGCTGAAATATCAATAAAAGAAGGAACACGAACTTGTCATTCCTTTTCAGTCTATAACTAAAAGAACAAAGGCATCATTGGAAGGAAGTAATGACACTTCATGCCTCTGGAGTACCTTTACTGACAACTCTCAAAGCTTGCTGGGCAGTATAAAACTAAGTGCTTGTTTGAACAATTATATAATTGTTTTGCTTAACTTTTAGTTTTAGTAATATGGCAAAATGTCCCATAAAATAGGTGATCATTCACTCTGATAAGTATTTTGCAAATAAAAGTAGCTTAACAAGCAAATCTGTTTGAATGTTGTTTAACATCTTAAACTCACCAAAGGATATTACAGCTAGGAGGTTCCTGAAAAGGTCTTGTCACACAATCCACTTTAGAAAAGGGAAGGTTGAGGGCTGAAAAGTTAACTTAATTCCCCCATAACACACAGCTAGCAATTGGCAGAGATGGGACTAGAGCCAGAATCTCTTGACTTCAAATCTAAGGCTCATAATTCCATGGAAAACCTCTCTTCCTACCAAATCTGTGATTTTGAAATTTCCATTATTAAGAGCAATATAAATTTGTTTTAGAATTGTTAGTATATTTGCTCCTGAAATCTGGACCACAGAAACAGTTTATAAGATGGTTTCCCAGCTACCTCTACAACACACACACTTTTTTGTATAAAAACATCAATCTGGAAACATTTTCTCAACCATTTGCGTCATTGCCACAACAAATATCTGCTAGATTAGCTACAGTTTACATAAAATAATTAAACAATTTCAGCAGCCACAGGCTATTCTATTAGACTATTATTTTATCCTGTATTCATTAATGCTATTTAATCTCTTGCCAGAGACATCAACTATCCCCCATCCACTGATTCCTTTAGATTGCTCAAAACTGACAGAATCAGAAACACTTAGCCACTTCTACTTCTGAAACATTGCCCATGAATACACTTAAATAATTCTAATATTTGAAATTGCTAAGAGAAAAAACTTTGTAAACAAAAACTAAAATAGGTGAAGACATATTTTTAACAAAATAGCACCTGCAGCTATAAAAATCAATTAAAATGATTCTTGGGGAAAATATATTTGTCACACAAAAAGTCTACAGCCAATGGTCATCTAATGATCATAACAAACAGTAAAACAAGCCCAAAGAGCTCAGAAGTAAAAAAATAGTAGTAACCAGAAAATATAATATAGAAAATAAAGTTTTCTTTTAATATCAAAAGGTTCAGTTTACACACAAAAAAATAAAACAAGAAGGCATAAAGTGTAATGGAAACAACTGATTATGGGAAATTTTACATGAATGTCCCTTGAAAAGTAAATTTCAGAATATAAAAGGCCTTACAAAGAACTCAAAGAAGATGTTGTTGTCGACATACTGGTACTCAAAGAAGACATAACCCGACTTCTTAAGGTGCACGGCATAGATCAAAGACACAGTGCAGTCATCACGATTTGACTCTATGTAATTTCCACGAGGAACCCACGAAGAGCTGCAGAAAGGAAACCAAGAGGCATTTTATGTTAGCATTCAGAAACCTCTTCTGTTCACAAGTTATGTAACTCAGATTCAAAAGTCATTCCATCAGCAAGGCACAGCAGAGAAGACCAGAAGCTTTTCTGGAATTTGAAGGCCAACGCCACTATTGGGAAAAGGTTCATTTCTTATGGCACATGACTTCCTAAATCTTGGTAAGGTTATGTGACCAACTGGCGATGAAACTATTTTTCACCAAAAATTCATCACTAAAGAGACAACCACTAACTCTATTAATCTTGGGTAGAATTATTCTCTCAAACAACATCTGAAGTTCTATTTATATACACATACACATGAAAGAGGGGTGAGAAGATTCCTTGATGTAGAGAAGAAATCATTCTAGAAACAGCCCATTGAACCTAACTAAAATACAGATCACAGTTTCATGGTATATAGTAGGGCTAAAGTCTGATTGGAATTTTTATCTAAAAAACCAGATGAAAAATAAAGAAAATACATTGCTTACCAAAATTTGGGTTGTAAATCTAACCATAAGTTAATTCTTAGAATTAACCAATAACGAGTCATGTGTCAACTTCTTTGGCAAAAAAAAAATTCTAACCAAACAGTATGACAGTACAACTTAACATCCTTCTCTTCAGATTTAATTCTTTATTTTGATGATAAAAGCGATATTTTAATAATTCTTTTCTTTATTTCTAACGGAAAAAGAAATCTGAATAAAAGACTGAGATGTCCTCATCCCAACAGGACTAACTGGTATTGGATTGGCCCTTTCTCTTTCGCCATCTATTAAACTCAACAAAATGTAGGAAGCACTTTCAGGATTGACAACAGGCAGTGAAGGGCTGAGATTCCTGAGGGTAGTACACACGAGGTAAGGCCCAAAGTGACCTTGACCACCTTCCTCAGGACAGGTTCTAAACTGTGGCACCAGGAGATGGCACCCAAGCAAAGCACCATGGTCTCACTGAACTGAGGAGCAGGGATGAGCGTCTGGGGCAGCTGGAAGAGCTGTAATTTACAGGCGTGAGAATCAGAGAAAAAGGGGCTCCAGGAGTCTGTATGGAGTTTCTCTGTCAGTCCTGGGTTTAGGGCTAGGGTCTACAAGACTAGCAGCCACTGCAAAGCTGAGGCATAATCCGAGAGGTCACCTTAATGGGAGTCATTTGAGCTCTAACCCAGCCAAAGAGGGGAAAATGTGGTAACCATATTGGACATTAATTTAAGATTCCAGAATTGCCACACCTTAGGAATATGGGCCATGCCCTAGAGCAGGTACCAGCAAACTTTTTCATAAAGGGACAGAGAGTAAAGACGTTTGGCTTTGTGGACCATCTGGTCTCTTGCAGTGCTCAACTCTGCCACTGTGGCCCCAAAAGTAGCCATAGCAACGCATAAGTAAATGAGGGCAGCTGTTTTCCAATAAAACTTTATTTACAAAAACAGAGGGAGAGCTCACAGGCTGTAGCTGGCCAACTCCTGCCCTTGAGAAAACATGACCTAGAACTAAGTGTGAAGCCAATACAGAGACACCCTAAAAAATAATAAAATCTGATGAGTAAATAAACTGCCTGCCAGAACAAAATTCAACACCCTTCACATGAAGACAAAATTAATCTATTTTCCCTCCATGTTAACATTCATAATGCTTAAGATACAATAAAAATTTACTAGACAAGCAAAGAAGTGAGAAAATGTGACCTTTCATTGAGAAAAAAAGACAGTCAATAGAAACAGACAAATATTTAAGACAGCTCTAACAAATATTATATAATCAACATTAAATAAAAAATGAACACAATGAGTGAATCCTATGTCCAACAAAATGTTCATCAAAAGTGAGGCTAAAATAAAGATAACGAGTTTAGGTACAACAAAGCTGAGAGGGTTTGTAAGCAGCAGATCTGCGTTACAAGAAATAATAAAGAAAATTTCATAGGCTAAAAAAATAAATCCGGATAAACATCCAGAGCTTTATAAAAAAGAAGGAAAGTAGGAGAGAAGAGAGGGAGGTAGGGGGAAAACATATCTTTTAGCACAGCTAAATAATTCCTGGCATTCTTAGCTCATGGTAGAACTTTGAGTTCCTGAGAATCCAATCTTGTCAGAAGGTAGCCAGAAGTCTAAAGTTTAATTCTCCTAAACATGGTCATATGAAAGAGAATATTACATAGTCAATACAAAGAGAACAGGAAAGGTTACAGCCCAAAGATAAACATTTTGTTTTGGTTTTTCAAAACAATTTCATATTCCTCTAGTGGTATCATAGACAAAGCTAATAATCTCCTATAAGAGGTAGAAATTAAGTAAATGAGCTTTCCACCTCAGGTACTTAGCCCACTCTGTCTTACAGGAGATAATCAAGTGTCTAAATAAAGGTTACACTTTCTTCCTTTCAGAGGGAAAAAAACAAATCTGAAAGCACCCACTAAAAATCAGAGATGCGTTTGTAGAAATACCACTGACTTGAGTGCCGTTATAAATATATTATTAGAACATTGTTTTTGTAATAGCTTTATCACATCTTTGCATATGGTAGCTATTATGTCCTGAGAACAATTATCTTAACTTCATGAAAATTCAGCTCCATTATTTGTAATGGCTGTCTAAAAAAAATATGATGCTTTGCAATTAGCCTATCTATCAGCATAATCCCAATTAGTAGAAAGATTATCCTCAAATTCTTTCTGGAAAAGAACAACTCTTCCCTTCTTGACTATTTAGTCAAGATCCAAAGGTTCCTTTCAGTTCTTACTTGTTACAGCCGACTGGCCTGGTGTCAGAAGGGCCAACCGCAGTGTCCATGAACGTCGCCACGTTGGAAAATCCTGCTGGTAATGCATCCCATTCATCAAATTTGACGCCACTGCCCAAGGAGTAGGTGCCTTCGCCACACTTACTGCACACCTGGTTCTTCATTTCTAGATATTCTCCAGAAGCACAGGAGAAAGCTGGAAGGCAGAAGGACATACAGCCCATGAGTCACTAGATTCCCCCATCCCTTTCCTCCCCTTTACACTGTCACCAGCATTATTTTTATAAAGCTCTGATCATGGCACGCCCTGATTACAGCTTTCCAAAGTCGCCCTTATGACCACTTGCAGTTCACAATCTGGCCCCACTCTGTTCTACCAGCCTCACCGCTTGCCCACCCTTTTCCAACCACAGCAAAATTCATATCATTCCCAAAATATTTCATCCTTTCTTGTTGCTGTAGTCTTCTTTCTCCAGAAATGCTGACCAACTCACCTACTCAATTTGGAAAACTCCCATTCCTAACAAAAAATGGCCCTCTTCATACCTCCCTGTCCCCCCCAGGCAGTCAGTTTTGCCTCCCTCTGTGCTCTTACAGTAAGTACTCTTCTTATAATACCTCCATTAAATCACTCTCTCTATAGATGGATGGATGGATGGAGATACATAGATAGATAGATAGATAGATAGATAGATAGATAGATAGATAGATAGATGATAGATAATAGATTAGATGCAGATACAAATATAGAGATACAGATATATATATGTATATATACATATATACATATATACATATATACATATATACATAGATAGATAGATAGATATGTAGATCGAGACCACTTATCAGTTGATGTGAGGCTTTGAGTTTCCAGAAAACAAGGATCATTATGCTTGGATTCCTAATTGTAGCTGTCAAATACTACATCCAAATAAAAGGTTGACCCAGCAAGTGAGAACTAAACATAAAGGAGATACCAAGGGCAGTGCAGTGCTTCACATGCAATAGCTAAACCAGCATCTACACTCTGAAACCATGAGCCCACTTTTTCAATATTCACAAATCCAACCTAGTCATTTCCACAACCTACATCTTATTACTGATGTCAAGCTCTCTGCTAATTCTGAGAACTGCACCCAGCAGACATGGGCAATGTGAAGAACAGTTGACACAGTTACAAAAAAGAAGGTTGTGCTGCTGTTAAGTTATTATTCATTCAACAAATGCAAATCTATGTCCCCTGAGTATGTGGCTTTGTGCTCAGGGTGGTATTAGTGACTCAAACATAGGAAAGGGCTTTCTAATCCTTTAATCAGGATATTATAGAAACAAGAACAAAATAAAACCTTCAAATTATCCAATAAAGGAAAAAAAATCTCCCAGCAGAGATCGAAGCAGCAAAGCCTCACATTTAGGTAGATTCCCCTTTTAGAATACATTTGAAAACTTAGAAAAAAATCAAAAGCTAAGTTTAAAAACCTAAGAATTAGAGCTAAAACCCACACTCATCTACTTATCCACTAAATGTTTGTTTTTCTTTTTTTTTTTCCAGAAAAGCTTAAGACGCTGTACCATGAACTTCTAACTCTGCAATCAACATCCCCAAATTATTGTAGTAAAATATCAGAAAATAAGTAAAGGTTAGGTGAAGAATTTTACATGCTAGCTACAAGATCAAAACCATCCTTGGACCAAGTTGCACCACTTCCTAACTCTGTGACCTTGAATGAGTTCATGTCTCCAGGCCTCAATTTCTACCTCTGAAGAATGAGATAGTAATCATGTACTCTCATAGGACTAAACTGAGAAAATATATAGTATAAAGTGAGTAGCACTGTGCCAGGCATTTAGTTAATGCTCACCACATATAGTTATTATCACTTCCAGTACTACCAACAGAAAAACACAGTTATAGAAATTTTTTAATTTTACTTTCTACGGTTTGTAGATCTTCTAGTAAACTGATAAATAATATCATAAACCAAGAGCCAACATTACCCTAAATCAAGGATCAGCAAGCTACAGCTCACACACAGGCCACATCCAGCCAGTTGCCCACTTTGGTAAATAAAGTTTTATTGAAACACTGTCATCACCATTCATTTACATATTATCTATGGCTGCTTTTCCACCACAGTGGCAGAGTTGAAGAGTTGCGACAGGGACTGCAATGCCTGCTGAGTTGAAAAATATTTAATTTCTGTTAAAATAAAGTTATCTTGGAAGACAGTTTAGACTAGGGTGCAAAACTGAATTTTTAACTTAATAAGAAGTAATATTTTTGTGACAAGTTGTTATAAGGGACTCTAGAAGCTAAAAAGGAGAAGACTGTATTTGTGTTATTTCAGAGTATTTATTGCCCTGTTAAAATCATTAAGAATATCCCCAGCTCTTTCAGAGGTGTTTGCTTGTCTAAGAACAGAAGGAAAACTGAAAAGTTGAAAGTAAGCGCATGCCTGTTACACAGTCAATTCATTTTATTCACAATAGTTATATAAAGTTGTGAACACTAAACCAGCAACTACTGAATCGTTGCTCCTAGGGGAGATACAGGGTTAGGCACCTGAGAACCTCTGGTCATATCTTTATCAACAAATCAATGCATAACCTTTTAATGTGTTTCAGTTAAAAAACATCTTATTTAATATGTGTTGTTGATTCATTAACATTGAACTGATGATGGCCAACAGCAGTACAAATCATACTTGAATTAAGCTTATTTAACACATGTATTTTTCTCCAAAAGGCATGTCACAGCCTTCCTACACTTAGAATGATTAGCCAGCACTTTAGCACTATTTTAAATAGTAAAATCACCGATGAAAAACACAAAATGCAAAAAAACATGGTATTCAATAGATGGTGAAATGGATACTTGTTGAAAGTATGAGAGATGAGATAAGAAGACAGATGTCACCTTGTTTTACCTCAGCTGGAACCACGTGGTCAGGTGATTCAAATTTTACTGCCAATGACTCAAAGTACTATATATTGCTATGGGGTTACAAATAAGTTTTATAAAGTAGGTGAATTGCAAGTATGGAATCCATAAACAATGAGGATTGATGTATTTATAATAGAACTGTGAAGGAGGAAGCTTTTATGCCTATTTACCAGATAAGGAAACTGAGGCATAGTACATTTAAACAACCTCATTACAATAGAACAGTGCCCAGTTAACAAGTGGCAAGGCTGATATTCAAATTTAGCTCTGATTCCAAAGCTAGTGACGCAAGAAAATTCAATTCAAGCAGTTATTATAATCTGTGCAAAAATGGCAAGCAATTCCAAATGAATTCATTATTATATTTTACACCATTCTTCATTTCCTGTCTTAAACTGTTAAATAATATTCACACGCATTGCAAAGCAATAACCATTCCCCACCCTCAAATTTCGTGTGGAATTTTTTAAATATCATACATAAAACACACAGTCACGAAGTATTTCAGCAAGTTGCTAAATTCTAATATCTCAACGTTTTTGCTATAAAAGGAAAATGGAAATAATACCTATTTCAAAGTGTTGTCATAAATGAGATATTCCATATAAAGCATTCAGCAGTGCACCTGGCATAAAGCATATAACAAATATGAGCTACAACTATTAATAAAATAATTCAGGGATCTGGGACAATAAGAATTCTGCCACTGGGCTGGTGATTCCACATCTCCTCAGAATAATTACATCGTCAAACTTAGTCAAACGGGTTTAGGGCCTTTAATAATGTAGGGAGCTGAAGAGTCCAAAGCATTTTTTATTTGAATCATTCGCTGCTCCTCAACCTTTCTTCCCATCCTGGAATCCAGCTCTTGAGTCACGTGTCAAAGGAAAACAAAAGCCACACATTCTTATTAAACACAATTTACGCCACGGAATTATGTCCACACAGCACTGCCACCCTCTTTTGGCAGTCGCCAACAATGAGCAGCTTTCCCTTGTCTGGTGTCTTCTATCTTAGCCACACCTACTTCCTACTTCAACATTGCTTTTTTGGTCTTTGGCTTTTAGTTGGAATTTAAGGGGTTTTATAATCTTACAGACTATATTCTTTTTATTCACAGTTTAATTTAGAGTACAACATAAGACCCTTTCAACAAAAAGCAGGATGACAGTCATTGTAAATAGCTATTGTAACTGTTGTAAACGTATATTCTATTCGAACAATTAGTCATTTCTAAAATAAATACTATTTTTCTTCAACAACCTCGAAACCCTGGAGTAACTGAATTGAAGATAATCAAACTCCTAAGTTCTGATATGAGAACAGAAAGACCTTATTTGCGTAAGGTCACATGCTACTTAACAGTGGGCTTAATCTGGGATTTCATAATATTTTGCCAAAGCAACCAACCTCTTAAAGTCTAAAGTGTAACCAAGGGGTTATGTGCTATACTCTGCTTTTTCTCGGCTTTTTGCCTTTTCTTTTTGGACATCTATTTCTGCTACTGTGAGTCTATAAAGGCTGAAATATGCAGGTGTGAAGAATCAGATATTTAAAAAGACATTTTATATCTGTCTGTCACCAACTAACAAATGGCTGGGTCAGTTTACTTAACCCTCTATGCCCCCTATCATTCACATTGCAATGAGAACACCACTTCCCCTTCCTCATGTGACATGAAAATCCAAAGCATTACTATGATCATGAATCACCCAGTACAATGTACCAAATAATAGTTACTGAACTGAATCATTTATATGTTGATTGTCATCTATGATTTATGCCTAACTATAAAGAATATCTATTTTTATTCTTTCACCACAAAGGCCTCTTAATTGACAGCTATCAATTACATTTATTCATAATTCGTCCTGTTTCTGTTTAAACCAAAATTATTACTGAAATTTGTTTTCTGAACAGTAAACAGCCATAATAAGTAGTAATAAAAGTATTTTCAATTTACTTGTGTGATGAGATATTAATGAATTATTGACCTTATGCAATCTCATTATAGGTAAGTATCTGGGAATCACAGTATATTG